AAATTAGTATTTGCTTTGGAAGATCTTGGCTCACCGAGAAATAGAAAAATCATTCCAGAAGGTGGTCATAGTAAACAAATAGGACTGCTAAAAACCAAAGTAAAACTATATGGACATGTCTATGTAGTAAGCAGAAGGACTCTGCTTACTACATAGATTCAAAGGACTCTCTACATTTAAATATGTTTTTATTTCCTTGCTAGTGAGAGAATTTTTTTTTATTCAATGAAAATAACAGGTACAGGACCTCACTCACGTTCACAGCACATTAAATCCTATCTTTACAAATCAGGAAGGTCGGAATTTGTAATTGGCTTCCATGCAGTTGTTAATTACAGTGTTGACATTTAGCCCTGTTTTATTTTGAAAACTCAAATTGAAAATCCCCTTTGGAAAACTAACCTTAAGGCTATTTTATTCTGACTCAACGATCAGATTTAATTTAATTTAATTTAATTAATTCAATTTATATGCCGCCTTTCTCCGAAGACTCAGGGCGGCTTACAACACATTTAAAAAACCATTATAAAAACATTTAAAAATTAAAACATTAAAACCCATTCACATCATTCATGGCCGGATCTCACATGATCGCAACAGCGAGATCAACAGCCCCAGGCCTGCCGGAATAGCCAGGTCTTCACCACTTTTCGGAAGGCCAATAGGGTGGGGGTAGTCCAGACCTCAGGAGGTAACTGGTTCCAGAGAGCTGGGGCAGCCACAGAGAAGGCCCTCCCCGTGGGCCCACCAGCTGGCATTGTTTAGCTGACAGGACCCGGAGGAGACCAACTCTGTGGGATCTTACTGGTTGCTGGGAGCGATGTGGTAGAAGGTGGTCTCGAAGATAACCTGGCCCTGAGCCATGTAGGGCTTTAAAGGTAATAACGAACACCTTGAATTGTGCCCGGAGACCAATAGGGAGCCAGTGCAGCTCACGGAGAATTGGTGTAATCTGGGTGTATCTAGGTGCACCCATGATAGCTCGCGCGGCTGCATTCTGGATCAACTGTAGTCTCTGAACACTTTTCAAGGGTAGCCCCATCTAGAGCGTGTTGCAATAATCTAACCGTGAGGTGACAAGGGCATGAGTGACTGTGAGGAGAGCCTCCCGATCCAAGTAGGGTCGCAATTGGTGCACCAGGCGAACCTGTGCAAAGGTCCCCCTAGCCACAGCTGTCAGATGTTGCTCTAATCTTAGCTGTGAGTCTAGGAGGACACCCAAATTGCGAATGGTAAATTTCTATGGACCAATCAATGTGTCTCAATAGATTAAAGAACCCCTCACCATTTCACCTTATTATTGCAGAATTTAAACTCTGTTTCTGGATAACAGAAAGAATTTTTTTTAAAGATATTAACAAATTCAAGACAGAGACAGGGGTTCATAGGCAAGATATACAAGGACTACAGTAATGTTGAAATAGATTTGGAGATTAGCATGTACCAATCAACAATTGGATTACACTATAGCAAATAGCAAAGAAGCTATTTAAGCTTAAGATGGGCAAGCTTCTGAACATGAAGGTATTAAATCCATATGAAAGTTCATTTCCCCCAAAAAAGTATTTATTTCATTATATTTTTAAAGACTCAAAGTAGATATTTTTACATTACTATTGGACTCCATCTAGGTAGTTCATGTTTCACATGGTTCGGTCTTCAAGCCCCATTCTAGGCTAGTCATAATGTCAAATATTTTTTTGTTCCATATATTTAGAAAATTTTTATGTTTTGCAATCTCATCTATTACAATAAAGACGTTACGTTTTGTGCGTACTGAACACTATATTATTTAAAAACACATCTCAGATATAATAATGTGATCAGCAGACTTGTGTGCCTGCCTGTGTGAAATACATGGACTCGACTAATGAAAGAAAATGATTTAAATTGCAATCATAAATCATTTTTAAAGAGCATGGGAAAATTCTATAATTAATTTACTATTTCCAAATGAAATTTCTCAAGGGGAAGAAAAATGGTGGGAAGAGAGAGAAGAAGGAATGTGACCAGAGTCAATTTTAAATGCCCAAAAGAAATGGATTGCTATTCTATCCCATTCCAAATCATTTCAAATATGCATTATATAGTAATATCAAGGAGTCCAGGCAAAATTAAAGATGAGCATGTGAAAATGGAATAAAAGAAAAACAAAGTATAATTAATTTATTGTTGCACATAAAAACGAAGTAGCTTCCCACTCACCCGACATATTTATTTTTACTAGCTATTCTCAAATTGACTTATAGCTACTTAAAAATGTCCAAAATGTCAGTGAAGATTTGCAACAATTATGACTCTTACATAAGAAAATGATTTTGAAACGTTTATGTATATATTTATGAGCGTACTAAGAGTTCATAAACAGTAGCTTGGCAGTAATCACAGATATAACAAATATGCATGCATTACACAAAAATCACAGAGCCCAACTCCATGACCAGCATAGAAATCCAAATTAAAGCATCACTGACAAATTGGTGTCTAATCTCACTTCCCCAAAAGGAACCTCCACTTATCTAGGTTTCTAGTTTCACTCTTGTACTTACTGTTTTTAGTGTTGGAATGTTTTTTTAAAACATTCCAAAATCTCTTAAGTTGAATTCATTATTCTGTGTCCTGCAATTTGGAATTATGAATAATAGTTTTTGCCAAAACATTCCAGGTATTGATCAACATTATCACTGAGTCAGTCTTCTCAATACTAATTTCCAATTCCTTCAATGTTTGTTCATACAACATAGTTTCTAGGTTCCTAACCATCATTTTTGCTCTTCCCTTTATTTGTTCCAATTTGTCTGAATCTTTTATTAAATGTGCTGTCCAGATGTGGTCACAATACCTGCAATTCAAAATAAAGCCTGACCAATTCAAAATAAAATAAATTATTATTTCTCATTATTTAGAAACAATAGACTTTGCTTTTGTCTTTTTTCAGCAAAAGAAAACCACATCATATTTCTGTCTCACTCTGCAATCAACTACTATTCTAAGATTTTTTTTTCCACAAGTACTACTACAAAATCAGGTATCTCCATCCAATAACTACAGTATATATTTATTTTTTATGTGAATAACTTTGCACTGACCTCTGTTAAATTTAATTGCTATTTTCAGCTCACATCCCTAATTTATCAAAAAAAGTTTCAGATTTTATTTCTTTCCTAGGTTATTAACTAACCTACCCTACCTATCTAATTATACGCTATCTGCAAATTTGATTTAAGTATTCTTGTCATCTTTATACACATTGTGGAAGAATAAAAAATGCTGAAGAATCCAAGGGTGGACATTGTGACACCATTTAGTTGAGAAATAGTTAATAGGTACTCCTGATTATGATTTTTGGGTGAACTAGATGGCCACATAAACATCATTCCATTCAATCTATATTAGCTTGCTATTCAAAGTATGTGATAGCATATCTTGTTAATACTTTGCTTGCCATCATTTTATCTACAATATTCCCACAATCTACTGAAAAAATTACTCGGTGAAAAATAAGGTAAGGTTAGTCTGGCAATACGTGCTCTTCAATATACCTATGTTTTGACAAACCCATGCTGACTTTCCACATTCTTTTCAAGCTTGTTATAAATCAATCTTTTTTAAGAATTGCTTTAGAATTTTTCCCATGTGTTGATGTCATGTCTGAGTCTCCCTCACCCCCCCCTTTTTTTTTTTTGAAAATCTGGATAATTTTTTTCCGTTCATCTGTTCTCCAGGATTTCACAAAGATAATATTTAACATTATAATATATATTAATATGACAATATTACACAGAGAGAATCAATTTGTAGAGGTTAAGGTATTAGGCTAGAAACCAGGAGAGTGTTAAATTCTAGTCCCACTTTAGGCATAAAGCCAGTTTGGGATCCAGCCAAATTTTTGCTAATCATGGCTCTATCAATCTCAATTTTCAGTTTCATCATTCTGCTGTCCACAGTTGAATGATACATAACATATCCTCTTATGGGAGAAGACTTAGAAAAAATAGGAGTTGAGTAGCTCTGCCTTTTGTTGTTGTTGTTGTTGCCTGTTAGCGCAGGGGTATCAAACTCGCGGTCTGCGGGCTGGATACATCACATGCTGGCCACACCAACCCATTTAGCAGAGGGGAAAAAAGTCGTGAAATGTCATGTGACAACAATGTGACGATGCGAGTTTGACACCCCTATGTTAGCGTGTTGTGTAATAAATTACTATGGTAACATAACTATTTATACTAGATGTCAGAGTGTTTACAGCATGACTATTATCCGTGTTTTCCTGAAAATAAGACCCTGTCCTATATTTTTTTGAACCCTGAAATAAGCGATTGGCCTTATTTTCGGGGAGGTCTTATTATTTTGGGGCACATGGAGCAAGATGGGGCTCCTCTTGCCGTCTTACCTGATTTCCAGGTCTATGTTTACATATTTTCAGGGAGGGCTTATTTTTGGGGGGAAGGCTTATTTTAGCACATGCGCTCAAAAGCCTGATTGGGCTTATTATCAGGGGATATCTTATTTTTGGGGAAACAGGGTAATTTGAGACAACCCAGGAGCAAAATACAGGCCACAGAGGTTTTGTCATTACAAACAGTGGTTTATGTACAAAACTTCTATATACATACATACACGTGGTAGGCAATCAATCAATCTTCAACTCTGCACGGAGAACTACAATGCAGGTAGAACACAACGAGGAGAGATACACCCTCTAATGGCCTCCCTGATATACACAGCTTCTTAATAACCCTGCTGACTCATCCTCAGTCTTAAAGGGCTGGTCAGCTTTAAATCATCATTACCCTGACACTATGCATTTATACTATGCACATGACACATACACCAGAGCTATCAATTTAATATATCTTTATGCCATATTTCATTTTTGGGCACCTTGCTTTTCCTTGAAGAATCCCAAATCAAAAGAGGATATGTTCCGATATATGAAACTTGAAAAATCTACCTAGCTGATACAAAACGAGGAATTGCTGTCTGATTAGTAAACATACCTTCTTCTTGTTGTTGTGCCATATCCTTCATCATACGTTGGCGATCGTGTTGGCGATCCTATTTTTATTAACAGCTGCAAGAAAAAGTGCTGTTGAAACATGCCTACAGAGAATTTTTAGTAACGATTTTTTCATTCAGTTATTGGGGAGAGGGGGGAAGTTTTTCCTGTGATAGTCAAAAACTTTCTAGTGGAACAGAAGGATCTGCTAAGTATCACTTTTAACAAGAAACTGTCTATTTTATAATTCTGTATATCACAAGTAAGTTTACGTATATACATACACCCATAAAATAAAATGGAATTTTTAAAGCTAGCTGTTCTCATTTATGAGATGTTATCCTTCACAGTTGAATCCCATAAAGGAGGAGTGGAAAAATCTCCTCTCACTCAATGGTTGCATTATTTCCATAAGCCACAGTAAAGAAGATCAAAGTCAAAATGAGAGTCACACAAATACTGTATAGACTCTCAGTCTCTATCTCACACAAAGAGATCCTCCCTCAGCTCCAGAATGATCAGCAATCAGACCTGAAAAGGCTTAGCATTGAAACTGGTTTGCCACCTCAATGGTTTCTTGCAGAGTTTCAACAAACATAGAACAAAAGAAGAGCTCTTCCAGGGCCCGTTTCAATCTAATATTTTGGTTTTCACAGAGTGTTCATATGAACGGTTTTAAAATTCTCCTAATGCATAGAAGCTTAAATGTAGGCTTATGCCTTTAAAAGGATTTGGAAGGAAAATGTTTATTTTATTTGCAGTCAATGGTTACCACACCCTGGTTTATATAACCAAACAGAATTTGCCCACCTTCTGAATCTTTAAAATAGTTCAACCTTCTTAAGAAACACTTGATCCTAGTGAAACTAGTTGAATAATGCAGATGTTATTTGCTTCTCCTCTACAGCAAATGGATTAGAAGTGGATTTAATGTGTCTAGCAAGAACAATCGTTAAAAGTTGACTCAGTTTTTTAAATATAAAAAACATTTTAAGTTGAATTCCAGCACATATGAGTTGTTACGTTATCACAAACAAAGATTATGCTGTAGACCTAAACATAACAACCCAGAAATATATTAATCAATTATATATATACTGTAATCAAGGTTTAAGACTTCAATCCTGAAAAGTTGTTCGAGTCCTATGAATGCTTTCTAGTGAAACCAGATGCTCAGTCATGTCAAAATAAAATTTCAAAGTAATCTTGTTAAATTACGCTATAGGGTTATCTTAAAACACCCTTTGGAGACAAAGACTTAATATACAACAAATTTCATCTTAGCAAGAAAAGGAAATGTTATATACACATACAACACACCAAAATATGAGGAGTTGAATAAATTGAACTAGTAAGCAACTAAGACGCATTAAATTTACAGAAAGGAAAACATATGGCTACCAAATCTGGGTTGAAAAAAATGTAGATAACGATAAGCTGGAAGCAGTGAAATTTGAAAACGTTAACACCTCGTGGTGGTTTGGATTTTCACAGCCCAGATTTGATAAACTTAATGAAAATAGCTTCCGTTTACAAATTGTTTAAAATTGTTGTTGTTATCTAACTTTGCTGTTTTTGTTAAATATTGAATTTCAAAACTTTGTAGTTGTTTTTATAGGTCAGCATTTAGACTAAATTACTCATGAAAAATACCACTTAATTACTTTCAATGGAACTATCTAACTAGCCATGAAATCTAGAGACAAGTTGCTTAGAAAAGCAATCTTTAAATATGCCGATTAAATGGATTTATTTCTTTATTATTATTATTTATTGAATTTGTATACCGCCCTACTCCCGAAGAACTCAGGGTGGTGAACAGCCAAAAGATAAAATACATAAAATACAAATGTTAAAAAACCATTAAAATACAATTAAATAATTTGGCCCAGAAAACAAAATTTAAAACACCCCAATTTTTTAAATTTAAAATTTAAAAAATTTAAAAACAGTTTAAAAGAGAGGTTAGGCCAGGCTGGCCTGCTGGAATAGGAATGTTTTGAGGGCATGGCGGAAAGTGCGCAGATCTGGGATCCTCCGTATCTCTGGGGGGAGCTCGTTCCAGATGGCGGGTGCCCCACAGAGAAGGCTCTCCCCCTGGGGGCCGCCGGTTGACACTGTTTGACCGACGGCACCCTAAGAAGCCCCTCTCTATGGGAGCGTACTGGTCGGTGAGAGGCTACTGGGGGCAGAAGGCGGTCTCGTAGATATCCCGGTCCTCGGCCATGGAGCGCTCTAAAGGTGGTAACCAAAACCTTGAAGCCCACCCTGAAGCCCACTGGGAGCCAGTGCAGCTCACGCAGGAGGGGGATCACATGGGAGCGCAACATCGCTCCCATAACCACCCGCGCAGCCACATTCTGGACCAGCTGGAGCCTCCGGGTGCTCCTCAAGGGGACCCCCATGTAGAGAGCATTGCAGTAGTCCAGGCGGGAAGTGACAAGGGCATGAGTGACCGTAATTAATGAGTCCCAATCCAGAAAGAGATGCAACTGGCGAATCAGGCGAACCTGATAAAATGCCCTCCCGGCCACAGCCATCAAATGCTCTTCTAAAGACATCTGTGAGTCCAGAAGGACACCCAAGTTGTGAGCCCTCTCTGTGGGGGCCAATGACTCACCCCCAATAGTCAGTGATGGCACCAACTGACTATATCGGGATGTCGGAAACCACAGCCACTCGGTCTTGGATGGGTTGAGCCTGAGTCTGTTACTCCCCATCCAGATCCGTACGGCCTCCAGGCACCGGGACATCACTTCAAGGGCATCATTGGAGTGGTTCGGGATGGAGATGTACAGCTGAGTGTCATCAGCGTACTGGTGGAACTTCACTCCGAAACCACGGATGATCTCACCCAGTGGCTTCACATAAATGTTGAACAGAAGGGGCGAGGGGACCAACCCTTGTGGCACCCCACATACAAGGGGCCTCGCGGTTGACCTCTGCCCCCCTGCCAACATAGACTGCGACTGGTCAGAGAGAAAGGAGGAGAACCACCACAACACGGTGCCTCCCACCCCTAACTCTTCCAGCCGGTGCAGCATGATACCATGGTCGATGGTATCAAAAGCCGCTGAAAGGTCTAATAGGACCAGGACAGAGGAGCAACCCCTGTCCCAAGCCCTCCAGAGATCAACCAATGCGACCAATGACGTTTCCGTGCTGTACCTAGGCCTGAAGCCCGACTGGAACGGATCCAGATAAGCCGATTCATCCAGGTACTGAGGGAGCTGCCGTGCTACCACACTCTCAACAACCTTCACAACAAAGCGAAGGTTGGAGACTGGACAGTAATTAGCCAACACTGCCGGGTCCAGGGAAGGCTTCTTGAGGAGAGGTCTCACCACTGCCTCTTTCAAGGCGGCGGGAAAGACACCCTCACTCAAAGAAGCATTTATAATCCCCTGGAGCCAGCCTCGTGTAATCTCCCAAGAGGCCAGCACCAACCAGGAGGGACACGGGTCCAATAAACATGTGGCAGCATTCAGTCTACTCAGTATCCTGTCCACATCTTCAGGAGTCACAGAATCAAACTCTTCCCAGATAATATTCTCAAGACCTGCCTCCATCCTCCCCCCTGAATCTACCCCATCAGAGTCCAGGTGTTCCCGAATCTAAACAATTTTATCATACAGATACTGTACAAAATCCTTGGCTCTACCCTCCAAGGGGTCCTCCCGCACTTCCTGAAGGAGCAGGGAGCGGGTCACCCTAAACAGGGCGGCCGGTGATTATCTGATGACGCAATAAGAGCGGAAAAATAGTTACATTTTGCTGCTTTTATCGCCACTAGGTAAGTCTTAATATTAGACCTTACCAGTGTTCGGTCAGATTCAGACCAGCTGGCCCTCCAACCGCTCTCCAGGTGTCTTTTCCGGTGCTTCATCTCCGTCAGCTCCTCGGTAAACCAAGGAGCCAAGCGAGATCAGCACCGAGTCAGAGGCCTCAAAGGCACGACCCGATCCAAAGCACCAGCGGCCGCCTTATCCCAGGCGGCCACTAGGTCTCCAGTCGAGGCGTGAGCCTGTATAATATAGACTAAAAAAGTAAGATAGTTGTATTCTATTCTGTAATAATCTATTAAAGTTTGAAAAGGCAACCCCTATGATGGAATTTTCTCCAAGTAGCAAATCCAGATCATTTACACTTATTGTAGAGACTTTACAAAATCAATTTCTTACAGTTTTGCCTCTAGCTCAATAGCTGTAGAGATGCAAATTCTTCCACCGACTTCTCCACAATATCTTCTCCACAATAGGCAACGTGATTGATCTAGACAGATAAAAAATGGATATCTAAATAATCCCAAATTATTGGTATAACTTCTATATGAGTATTTGTAATTTTCCATATAATCAAACAAAAGTGTCTCTATAGTCACTACGCTAACTTTCTGATTCAAAGTTTTGATGCAATAAAACTCTGTTAACTATTTGTTCTTTGTTTCTTGAATGAAGAGCTGAAGAAACTTCTTGGGTGAGAAGTGAAATGCCCCTTCAAAGAAAAACCAGAAAGTCCAGTTGCCTCTTGAAAAAGCACCTTTGGGATATTCTTTGCTATAATATTTTCATTATAAGATCATTCATTCGCTTTTTAAAAGTTTTGGTCCTGTGTGTGTTTCTGAGATTTGAATATGCTTAAATTAAAATAGGTAAATTAACCAAGCCTAGCTTTAACACATTTATTTTACCCTTCATTTCAATAAATTACCCCATCACCTGCTTGGGGGAACTTGAAAGACACAAAACTGGGTCATTTCATTGTCACCAGTGTTAAAAATTGCTCATATTTTTATAGGATAAAGAAGAGAATATATGGGTTAATTATTGCATTGTTCATTGAATTATTGTTATGATCATTCTCATCCTTATTATAGAAGGCATTGACCAAGGGCTAAAGTTGAATTTGAAGTAGAATCCAACAGTAAGATGCTTAGAATGTTCTCTTCTTCCCTGATCTCCCAGCAGATTCCTAGATGCCCTCAAAATCCACAGTAAAGAGATCCTCCAAAGATCTTTTGAGGTTGCATATATCTGTACACCATCAATAGAAACTGTTTTCAGGGGGGGAAATCATAATACAGACTTACAATCATTTCTTTATGACCATTTAAAATGACAACAGCACTGAAAACAGTGACTTTTGACCATTTTTCACATGGTGGGCAATTGGTGTTATATTTATGACAATCGCAGTATCCAGGGGTCATGTGATCACCATTTGTGATATTCTGACAAGCAACTCAATGAAGAAGCCATATTCACTTGTTGTTGTGTTACTAGCCTAACAACTGCAGTGATTCTCGTAACAACTGTGGCAAGAAAGATGGTAAAATGGGGCAAAACTCACTAAACAACAGACATTTTGGACTCAGTTGATAGTATATCAAGGACTATCAACTGAGTCCAAAATGTCTGTTGTTAAGTAAATCAAGGACTACCTGTACTGAGTTGCTTCATTTATCTTTATTTTACAAATCAATGCAATAACTGAACATGTCTTTTTTCAAATCCTGATCTTTTTAAAATAAAAACAAGGTACTATAGATTAAACAGTGTATTACATATTAACTTTATAAATTTAGGTATTTATGACACCGGGGTGCTTTAAACCTATTTTCAACCTGACATCAAAGCCTCCATAAGTCAAATTCTTGATTTAAAATTAATTGAACATAATTCAATTAAGTTGGTATTTTAGTCCTAAATTGAGGGCACCAAATATAGTCGCTTTTCAATAAAACCGTGGATAAACGTTATTTGATGTCTCCAGTTCACTAGTTACTTCACCGGCTGCTGAAATCTTTCCATGCTAAATTCCTAAAGCATTATATTGCTCTGATTTATATCAACATAATTTCAACAAGATGCCTGAAGGCATATTAGTATTGATAACAGGTACCAGTATCAACTTTCTGAAATTCTTAAGCAACAGCATTTTTCGACTAGTTTCAACTTAACATACTTGCTCAAGTAGAGTGTGTTTATGAGAGTTCAAAAGAAAATACTCAGCATTTGTCATAAAAGCACATCACCTAGCCAATGCAAATACAAGTTGGGTGGAAACGATCTCACTTGTAGACGACCCTCACTTTGTCAAGGACAAAGCTAACTAGGGCATACAAAACCTTTGCCAGACCAATTCTTGAATACAGCTCATCCACCTGGAATCCACACTGTATATCGGACATTAACACGATTGAGTGGGTCCAGAGGTATTTCACGGGAAGAGTACTCCACTCCTCTACTCACAATAGAATCCCTTATGCCACCAGACTTGAAATTCTGGACTTGCACAATCTGGAACTGCGCCGCCTGTGGTCCAATCTAAGCATAGTTCACAAGATTGTCTGCTATAACATCTTATCTGTCAATGACTTCTTCAGCTTCAACCACAATAATACACGGGCAAACAATCAATACAAACCCAAGGTAAACCGCTCCAAACTCGATTGCAGAAAATATGACTTCAGCAACACAGTGGTCAACGCCTGGAATGCTCTACCCGACTTCATTATAGTCTCAAACCCTCACAGCTTCAAACTCAAACTGTCTACCGTGGACCTCACCCCATTCCTAAGAGCTCCGTAAAGGGGGCGTCATAAGTGCACCAGCATGCCTACCATCCCTTTCTTACTGTCCCCATTTATCTGTACTTACTTCCTTTGTTTATGTTTATACCTATACCTGCTATCTTGTACATGTTTGACAAACAAATAAAATAAATAAATAAATAACTGACTGTTTTGTAACTTTATGGCTATACTGTCTATACATTCTAAATGTATAGGGACCATAATTCCCAGGAACCCTGGCTCCTAAAATCTGGAAGTCAGGCTAGGAAATCTGTTCTATCTATTGTCAAAACAAATGTGTTAATGATGTTAAATGTTGTTAAATGTTGACTTTCAGAGCAGAAATATATATATTTGTCCCCAAGGGACAAGTAGCTCATAAATGTATTTGTATTTGTTACATTTGTATCCTGATGCAATCAAATTGACTCTTACCCAAACCTTTACAATATATGGTTAATTAAATGCACTGACATTAGATTCTGAATACCTGTACCCAAAACAAAAATAAAATAAATAAAATAAAATAAAACACTAATTCACTAACATGGAAGAGGAAGAATGGGATATTTGCTGAACGTGCAGCTAACCAATCTTTAAGTGACCTCGGCACCTATTGTAGGTTCTGCCTTCCTAAGAGCCAAGAATGAGCAGATATTGAAGTAGGGAAAAATATCTTCATTACTAATCTCTATAAAAACATTTGCTCCCTGTTTCTCTGATCTGTAAGCAAACTGCAAGACCTTCTATCTAGTTAAGAAATGGATGGAGCAGCTGGCAACCATATGGTACTACATGCAGAAACCGTATAATGCAGGCTTGATTAAATGTGGGCACCCTAGAAAGAAATGCTATTTTTTGTGATGGTTGTCTCACCTGGTCAACTGATGGTAATACTGTGAGATAGTAATAGCTCAATTTTTAAAAAGTGAGTTTCCCTGAGGGTGGAGCTCAACTTTGTGTTTCTCCAGCATTATCCAGCAAGTCAACTATTAGATCATTCTGGCTTTTAGTTCTGTTGAAAGCCAGATAAGTGCAACAAGGAACAAGGAAAGGAATCCAGGATCTCTATTCATGCAATGAATTCATATACATCTATGTAAAGAAAAAGCTACCGGAAGCCATGTGGCAAAGGGAGACAGGGCTAGAACACACACATACAATTCAATAAAATTAATTAATTAAAAGTAATTAAATCAACAAAATTGATTAATTAAAATTTATTAAATTATGAACATTAATAAAATAAAATAAAATATCTTAAGATAGACTGACATTTTAACTTATAGGCAATTTTAATCAACACACTTTTCCCATTCTCTGTCATATATACACAAATCCTGGTCATATGTACTTTACATATTCTCCTCCCTTATTTCAATAAAGGAGGGGCAGAAAATATTTTTAATAGGGAAGGGCCCTCTCCCCACAAGGGCAGAGTCTGATTTCTTTCAGGAAAGAAATTTCAGGGAGGAAATGAGGAAAAGAGGAAATGAAGGGAACAAAACTAGGCACAGATGTGAGCAAAGGAAAAAAATGAAATCAAGGAATGGATGAAAATAAAAAACAGAAGCCGTATTTAGATCAACAAGTAGAAGTTAATCTTCAAAGGCATCCATGCTTCAGATATTTGCATCCACTTACACCTCTTACATATTCTTATATTTTCAATCATTCCAGAGACACCCTTCCACTCTCTCACAACTCATAGAACGTATGTGGGGAGTAACCTTTCAGTAGGAAGGTTTTATATATACTTATATACATTAATGCAGTAGGGGGATTTTACTGTGTTCTATTTAGACAACTTTTTCAGAGTTTTGTATCTATCACCATCCATCATTTCCTCAATAAGTGAGATAGTATATTTGATTTTAGAGATAAGCAATTCATGGAAATTTTTATCTTGACCTTTAAAAAAAAGAAAAGAAAGAAAACCTACATCCCTTCTATTCAAATATAGCACTACCAATTGCCCAGCTAAATCCAAATGTCATGTGTTCCCTTTCTCATTCTTCAAATCATGGTTGCAAACTAAGCTTAATGAGAAAAATGTCCTTCTTAGCATTAGTACTAAATCATAGCAAGGAGGGAACTTTTGAAAGGGGCCAAGAGAAGGAAGAAAAAGAAATGCATAAATTTGAAGTCGTCTTAGTGTATCTTAATAGGAGATTATTAATGGGCTCAACTAGACATACTCTCTCTTAGGGCTTTAACTTTCCATTGAATTATTTAATTTCTCCCCTATTGATCTAGAATCCCCTCCTCCTGATTTGCTCATTTAGATCATCCAGTAAAGAGATTAAAAATTATGCCCAATTCCTGCTGGCTTTGCTAAAAACTACTTTCATACATAAAACAGAGAAATGTTACCAAATTAGTTCATGTAGCCCTAGACATATTTAATCATTTTAGTATGACTCCAGAATTATTAGTCAACTGACAAAAAAATTATTAGTTTACTTTCATGAAATTTGGTCATGAAGGAAATAAAACTTGCGGTTTTAATGTCTAAGTACTTCACTTAGAAATCTTTCTTCTTGCCAGACAGGATAAACTGTCCTGTATGTACAAGGGCATAACTTCTAATATTTGGAATGTTGGAACTGTTTTCTAAAATATATTTCTGCACAACTGTCTTTTCTAATTACTCTGTTCTTTCCTTTCTAGTTCTAGTTTATATCAGTGCCTTATTCTA